CCTAATTCACTGCCACTGGAGGTGGGGTGGATGGGGAGGTGGGGGGGGGCTAACGGAACAAGAAATGTCCCAAGTCTGCACTTAGAGTTACAAGAATCCTTCCTGGACAGGGTGAGCAGTAAGCCACAGGAAACAGTGAGAACATGTCACTTCCTGCTTCTGAAGAAACTCTCCAGGGGGTGGAAGGCCCCAAGTGGCTCTACCTTTACATAGATGGGATGGTGGGGTAGGGGTTGGGGTGGTGAGGAGAAACCCCCCCCCCTTTCTCTGGTGCTTTGAATCAGACACACATTCCTTTCTACCCTGTCCCAGGCTAAGGAGGGGTCTGAGTCACTTCTTAGGAAAGACAAGGGAGGGCGGTGAGGCCAGAAAATGGGGCCCTCGGAGCCCAGACCTTAAGAAGATGGAGAAGTGGCTCTTCCTCAGCACTGGTGCAGAAAGCCTGCCTGGCAGCACTGTGACCCAGCACTAGGGTCGGGAGGGAGCTCTCTGGCTGGCCAGTCCAGTCAAGTTGCTGAGCTCCAGATTCAGTGAAAAACCCTCTCTCAAAAAACCAGGCGGAGAGCAACTGAGGAAGACATTAGACATTACCCTTCTCACAGAAACATGCATCTTGCCCACACACACACACACACACACACGCATATCTTCACGAACACACTCATACATACACGCTCAAGTTTACTGTTCGCCCTACAGAAGGCCTATAAGGAAGGCGGTCTCCTCCGCTTCTGTGTCAGCAACTCCCAGAAGCACCTGGGAGACACCACGTGTCCTTGGACAGGGGAAGAAGTGACTCCAGTTCACACATCAAATGGCCAAGCTAGGGAGAGCCTGAGCTTTTCTGACTCTTAGACTCACCTGCCACAGCCCAGAATGCAAGAGGGAGGGGAATCCCCCAGTACCCTGAGGTGTGGAGAGTGGGCAGGAAGAGGAGGGAGGTGTGAAGGAGGGGGAGGGGAAGACAGGCCTGGCCCTTTCCTGACTGCCTCTAGGGAGCCACAGCTGTGTGAAGAGAGCAGCTGAGGCAGAAGAAACTCCAGAGGCAGGGTGACTGGTCTGTCAGACATGCTCAGATGCCAGTTCAAGAAAGAAGCACCCAGCTAAAATCCAGGCCCCAGAGAACACGCTGCAGTGAGGAGAACAATACAGTGAGGAGAACACAATGCAGTGAGGAGAACAAACTGCAGTGAGGAGAACACGCTGCAGTGAGAACAATACAGTAAGGAGAGCACACTGCAGTGAGGAGAGCACGCTGCAGTGAGGAGAGCACACTGCAGTGAGGAGAGCACGCTGCAGTGAGGAGAACAATACAGTGAGGAGAGCACGCTGCAGTGAGGAGAACAATACAGTAAGAACACGCTGTAGTAAGGAGAACACGCTGCAGTGAGGAGAACAATACAGTGAGGAGAGCACACTGCAGTGAGGAGAACAATACAGTAAGGAGAACAATACAGTGAGGAGAACACACTGCAGTGAGGAGAACACGCTGCAGTGAGGAGAACACGCTGCAGTGAGGAGAACACGCTGCAGTGAGGAGAACATGCTGCAGTGAGGAGAGCACGCTGCAGTGAGGAGAGCACACTGCAGTGAGGAGAACATGCTGCAGTGAGGAGAGCACG